TTTTTTAAATTTTCATTTTACATCCTTATTAAATTAGCACACATAATTGTATATCAATTATAACATATTTAAAAAATACATTTTTATTTTAACAAATTATACCATTATAATCATCTCATTAATACTTTCGAAATGAGTCCAATATTGAATAGTTTTTGACTCAATTATATTATTATATAATATATATACTATGAAAAAATATTTTTAATATTTACATTTTATACTTTTATAGTTATTTATTTAATTTTTGAATACATCTCTTACTTTTTCATTTTTCGTTTTACACTTTTATCACATTAACATACGTAATCGTATATTAAACTAAAATACGTTAAAAAATATATTTTTATTTTAACAAGTTACACTATTATAATCGTCTCGTTAATACCTTCAAAATAGTCTAATATTGAATTTTTTTATATTTAATTATATAACCATAATAATATAAATATAACAAGGATATAAAATAAAAAATTAAAAAAAGTAAAAAAAATGTATCTCCCTGTATTGTGCGAGCATTATTCTAGTATTTATAAAGGTAACTTTTATAGTTATTTATTTAATTTATAGTACATAATTTATTTTTTCAATTTTCGTTTTACACCATTATCACATTGAAAAACATAATTTTATATCAACTAAAATTAGATCTAACAACGAAATTAACTTCTCAGGAAGCATTCTCATATCCTATATTCATCTTGTTCATCTTACATACTCATTTTTAATATACTTTTTAATTTTAAAATTATATTTCATGTTTTATAGTTACTTAATTAATTTATTTTTATAGTTTTGTTTTATACCATTATCATATTAAGATACATAATTATATATTAACTAAAATACGTTCTAATTTTAACAAGTTACATCATTATAATCGTCTTGTCAATGTCTTTAAAATAAGTCCAATATGGAATATTTTTTATTTAATTATATTATTATATCATATATTACTACGGAAAAATATTTTTTAACACTTATACTTTATATTGTTGTAGTTATTTATGTAATTTATGGTATGTCCCTTTCGTTTTTCATTTTTCGTTTTATACCCTTATCACATTAACATACATAATTGTATATTAATTTAAAAATATATTTTTATTTAACAAGTTATACCATTATAAATTGTCTCCTCAATACTTTCGAAATTTATTAATATTGAATATTTTTT